AAAAGTTTAAATATTTGTTTATTACTTAAATATTTATTTTTGATATAATTTCATTGTTAGCAGGATTATAATGTTTGTTTAATAATGGTAAATTTTGCATTGTTCTATTACATTCATTTATCATTGAAGATTAATATGTATTCACATTTTTTACATATTTTTAAATAAATTTATTATTTACAATCTGCCACGTGCTGGCAACGAGTAAATATTTTTGAAACTGTAACAAAATATAACAATGATCCTTCATTTCCCAAAATCCGGATCCTTCTCCAGAAATCATCTCCGAATTCCTAACCTTATGTCCTCCACTTTTATTCAGAACTCCCCCAAAATCAAAATAACACCTTACAACTACTCCCTTCCACCCTTCATTCTTCGATTAGTAAAAAAGAAACTTCAACTCTCTATATATGTATATATTTTTCCCCTTATTCTTCTGTTGTTCATTGTATATTATTATTATTATAATATTGATATTATTTCATAATAAAGTTTATGTTCCCGGGCGGAAAGACCTCGGTCGATAGCCCTTTGGCCAGCCTATTGATATATATTTTTATTATATGTTAAAATTTATTTATGTATAAATTGTACTTTTTTTTCTTCTTCTTCTTATGTATTAATGTTTGGCCAATAAATTATTATTATTATAACAATGAGCAGAATAGTTTCCTATTGGAAACCTTCCAAGTTACATAATATAAATAAATTTTAACACTAGAAACGTTCTTTTAATTTTAAAATATATAAAGAAGATCAAGGGTACTATACTTTTTTTAGTCTATAGGGAGTTTCACTATTGTCTAATATTTTTTTTTTATGTCGTGTAATTTTATTTACAATCTGTTCATCAATGTGTCGTGGCTGAGCAATTTATTGTCATCTAAATTTCTAAACGAACTAAATTTTCAAATCTCATTTTGTGCGGTTTACTATTGTAAGTACTTATTTCCGCATTCAGACAGATGAGGGGTAACTATGCAAGGTATTTTTGTATTTATTTATTTGACTAATAACTTTAGAATAAGTTATGCTTTATATATATATATAATATGGAGATCAACTTTTGTATTTTACCTAATATACTGAACAGAAGTATTTTGACTGTAAACAGCAAAAGAAACTTATTATATTGAATGCTTTATATTCGATATAATCGGCGATTAGTG